CCTGGCTTTTCTCTTGGGTTCCAGCACATACCTAGGGACCACCGTGCTTGTCACTGGTGCCAGTGATGGCGTTCCAGTGTTCATGCAAGACTTGGCATATACAGGGCTAACGGTCTCAGTGGTAGTGTGCCAACTGGGAGATGCTGTCTCCGGGCCACTGACAGCTTAAAGGTGAACAGTTTAAAGATTATTTTATCTGGGGTTGTGCTGCTAACAGCTGCTGTTAGCTGGCAACCTCTATTTCTTCATTACAAGGTCCAGAGTTGAATGGGTTCTCCATCAGAGGTGGACTTTGTGTCCAAAGACATGCCTGTAGTTGATGCTGGTAGTCCTTTTACTCTTTTTAGCCTATAGTCTGCATGCAGATAGAGCATTTCTCAAGGATGTACTCACCCAGGATGTATAAATAATAAGAGCAAGAGAACAAGGTGGAGAATAGAATGGAGAATTTGACAGCAAGTAGGATGCCTCCCAAAGTAAAGAACAGACTTGCAAGAAGCTCAGCCACCTTCTTCTCACAAACACCATCCTCAGGAACCTACATACATTCAAAAATATCTCTCTTACTGTCTTGAATATATCTGTTTAAAAACAAAATCCTGTCTGTCCCACAAACCATTCTTGTACTTTCTGATTTTTCAGTCATTACAATATATATTCAAATCTGAATTAGCTCTACACCAAAGCAAAAGCCCACTGGAGATGTAGCTTTGGAACATTGTTGTTTTTCCAGGAGCTTTCTACAGCGTGGTAGTTTCTATTATGCCAGCCGACCTGCCAGATGTTAGGAAGTCAGCATCTTTTCCTTGTCTTCTCTCACCAACATACCTGCTCAGAAGCCTCTCAGCCAAATGCTACAGAATCAAGCAGTAACATGATGGAGAGTCTAAAACTCCCCAGAAAAATAAGTAAAATATAGCAGCCAGTCAACCTAAAGCCTAGTGAGGGATTTAAACAAAGGCAAGGGTAAAATGCTGGGGTTTTGACATACGACAGTATTTTTGTATAGAAAATATTCCGCACAATCACTTGTGCCCTGAAAGTGTCAATGTTTTCCCATTCTTTTGAGTGAAATGCTTCAAATCATCTAAACAGAACAAAAATAATCCAAAATATCTTATTGCTTCAGAACCTGAGATGGATAGGATTTAAGGGGGTCACATTTCCATTATAGATAAATACACAGACTGTGTAAGACAAAATGCTTTCTTGTTGGTATAAGCTTGTTGCTTTCTTGTTGATATAAGCTTGTATGTTTATTGGGATAATTAAAGTCTGCTTTGAATATAACCTTCACTTGAAAAAGGCTGGTATCATGTTCCTGACAAGGTTAGGTGTCAACCACTTACCACTAATGGTGATGATCTAATTAGATTGTTAGATTTTCCTTTGGCCAAGTGAACTTTACTAGCAGAATGAAAAATAGCATCAAAGGAACGTCAAACTGCTGGCAAAACCTAAGCTACATTTTAAAATACAGATAACACAAGAAGGAAAAATGCTTGTTTCTATGCCTTATTTGGAGTGTAGTTTACTATTTATGACACAAGATCTGAAAGCGGCTCTTGATTTTTTGGTCTCTTGTCATAGGGTCCAAGCTTTGGAAGGTTTTTATCAATGGAGAAAAAAATACTTTTGTGGGATCTGGTGTTCAAATATACACTGCTTTGCAAAAAAATAGGAGTACCTTACTATCAATAATCAGCTGGGGCTGGAATTTATGCATCTACAAAGACAAGGCATGTGTTAATTTCTATCTTTTTCAAGACAAAAATGATGTAGGCCAAATAAATATATTTTTAAAGTTCCAAACAACTGTAAAATAATAGCTGAACAGGATACAAGTTACCCTTCATTTCCAGTCTCTTAATGCCTTACTGCTTAAGAAGATCAGTTCACCTCCCACCCAACTATTAGGGAAATTTCATCTGTGCTGTATTTGAAAATTACACAGAAAACTTTGCAGAACATTTAATTGTTTTCATTCAGTGACAAATTAAGAGTGACTGGAATAGGTTTGTTACAGGGCACATCTGCATAGAAGCTATGGTGAACCTAAGCTCTGCAATCTGGCTAACCTCAACAGCTGTAGTGCTGAAGTTGCCAGATTCAGAAACACTCTTGATCACATCCTTACTCCGTACCATCTTTTCCTGGTGGCTAAATACCGATTAAATAGCTTCCTGTCCCTGGGGAAGGCTCCCTGACTCTGCAGTCTGAGAGGTACACAGCATGCAGTGTGATTTTTCCGTATTTCTAGTACGGCGTGATCATCACAGAAACCAGAGCATGCAGTCAAACAAATAACTCCCAGCAGTATTTGAAGGGTTATAAGGGTTAGGAACTGGAGTAAAGTTTAGGAAGAACTGCCTTCCAAGCTCAGACATTTTGTTTATCTGGACTATCAGTTCTGTCCTTCTCTTGTGTGCTCAGCAGACACCACATGCCTTTTCTTCCACACTGTGACCGAGTATCTCTGGTATCGGTCAGCTGATCAGTTGCTGAGATTAATTATACCATCAGGGATTATGGCTGTTTACAACTTTGTTGACAGGCTTCAGGATTTACTCTTATAAAAACACTCTCTTCCAGCGTCAGCCTATTCATGTGTGCTCTGGCATTAGCTCTTTAGGCTAAAAACTGTCCTATTGTAATGCGTAGTGTGTCTGGCACAATAGGTCATCAGCCTGGAGCACCGAAAATAATTGCCTCTCTTTTTACTATCAGGAGAGGCACTGAACTACAGTAAAGAAAAGCAAAGCCCACAGTGGTGAAAAACTGTAGAAACATTTAAAAAGGAAAAGCTGACTGCAAAGTCTAGAAAGGTTTTGGTTTTATTCCTTTAAGGGAAGAGTTGGTGTTTGGAATTCAATACTGAAAGAAAAATTGTGACTGGGAATGCTGGAAATGTGGGAGCCAATTTGTAAGACGAAGTGATATACTGAGTTGGTTTACTTTATAAGATTCCTCTTTTACAAATTATTTCCTTCTAGTGTGCCAAAGGACTCCTTTTGAGGCAGAACTTTCAAAGAGAGGAGTAAAATCTATGGGGAAAGGATAGAGGTTTCTAATGCCAAATGCCCCGTCCTTTTTGTCATACTCTGTTTCCTTCTCTTGAAGTCCTTTTCACCAATATTCCTATCTAACCCAATTTCATCCTGTCTAATCTCCACTACTGGTCCTTCTGACACCAACACGCAGCATCAGCTTACCGAAACAGCTCCTTCCACTCCAGTCTGAGTGGAAGCAGGGCGGAAAATCACACAGGTCTTTCCACTCTCAAAACAAGTCTGTTACGAATACACACCTCACCGCTAAGACGCATATAATCACGTCAGCTTCTCTTTAAACACTAAGGAGTCTAAGTCAGTCTGGCTTATTTATTCAGTAAAAATGTTTTCCTTTACAGAGGCAGCTAGCACAATCTTTGAATTGGGAATTTTGCAAGAATAACTGGTAAGATACCAGCCAGAGAAATAATTTTAAAAATACAGCAGCTTTTCCTGACTGAGTTAGTTCTGAATGCCTTCCAGCAAATCGACCAGTATGAAAGAGGAAAGACTACTCACGTTTGTACAGTAGTCGGAAAATATTCTGGGAAATGGGAAGAAGTAAGAACTGAAGTTATTCCTTTGCTAAGTCTAAGTGACTATTCCAGCCACCGTTTCCAGAAACTAATAGCGATGAAATTTAAGGAAAAAAAAAAAAAAAACCATTGAACATTCATGTCAAATGATACATCTTTAATTTCTAAAAGGTGATAAGTACGAAGAAACTGATCTAGTTGACAGGCAATTAATCCTCCTTGCATAGTACATTTATCTCCATGGGAAATCAATAATTACAACACTTCAGGAAAACTGGCACCTAAGTGAGCAAGCAGCCTCAGTCCTATACAAAAGTTACAGACAGCCTCAATGTTTGCAAGTTTTACTTTGTAATGGATCCAGAGCATAGTCTGCTTTGTCCACATCTATCCCACAGTACTGTATTCTTTCACTGCAGTCTTCAGTTGGCCATCTGTATGAAAAATGTAAAAGGCTGCAACCCACACTGATACAGTAATTCACAATAAATTAGCTTCACTCTATTCAAACTTGGCCTTTCTGAGGTCAAATACCTCAAGGTACGTAGTTAAGGACTTTATTTTTTATGTAAAATGTGTACCTCACAATACTTATAAAAATGATTACTTGATCAACACTTCATCCAGAAGATGTTCATCCTTCCGTTGAGAAGGTAAAAGGTGAGGCTTCAGTTTCAGAAGTGCTCTTGACACTCATCTAAAATAAGCAGTGAATCTTAGATGAAGCCAAAAAATTCTAACTTGCTTAACAAGCTTACTAACAAGACAAGAGTAAAGACTTTTTCATATAAAAAAATTTAAATTTACGTTTTACTGTATGTGTTAGACATATCTACAATGGATTTTTTTTCCTTTACAGAATGATAGGTGGAGAGGAGCATTGTACTTACGTCATCATTAATTAATCCCTTTTTTCTAGTAACTTGTGTCCTGATTTTCAAAAGCACTGATTATCAGCATATCCTAGGTACTGAATGGTAGCAGCAGGCACTCAGAACTGTTGAAAACAGACTATTAGTACTTGTACTTATGCTGCAAGTGCACCATTTGAAAATATTCCTCTTGAAAGCAGGTAGTTTACTTTTCAGTCAAAATCGGTTGACTAATTACTATTTTAATCATTCTTGTAGTGTTTTAGAATGTTTAAAATAACTATTAAGACTAATTACTTAATACACTATAGTGGATTATGATCAAAATTAATATGTCAAAAATTTAAGTTTATGATAAATAAAGTTTGAAAAAATTTATACAAGGCCGTAAATAAATAATTTGAACTTCAGTCTCATTGAAAAGTAAAACAGTACATCACACAGCAGTATCATCCTATCTAGACAATACAATCTTGCTATATTTTATTGCATAATAATTTGAGAGTAACCTCTTAAGTAAAATATGTAACAAAACAAAATCGTTAGATTTACTTCCTTTAATATTGAACAACCAAAGTTTCTCCTTTGTACATAATCCAATTTAAAGATAATATAATTAACACTTCCAGCATTAACAGTCTGTATTTACAATGAATGAGATGGGATAATCTAAAGAGTAGTCAAATCTGTTTGAAACAAATCAAAATACAAAGATTTACAGTAGGCTCAAAATCCAAGACTTCTCCATTTATGGAATGCAATTTAATAGGCTTTGTCATCTTTATTACTTCTAAGGGTTCCTGAAATGATGATTTTTAATAGTATTTTAAACATCTGAAATCTTCAGTAATGCCTTCATTATTTGTACATGACATTAAAAATTAATTCCAATACTTCTATTTAATTTTTCAATTGCTTGTAGACCAGTCTGAAATCTGATGAAAGGATAACAAAGAAATTTACTGGATAATCCTAATTCTGTATTCCTGAATATACAACAGTTGGAAGTAGATGATGTCAGTCCATTCCAAGGGTTATGTACACAAAACTTACAAAATGTTCTTTGCTCTTGCATAAAATGTGTACACAGTATCAAGGAGCAGGGAACTTCAAAGTTTTTATGTGTTGCTGCTGGCATAGACCTCTGTTGATTGAAAACAAAATACCTTTCACTCTATTGTTCTGGTAGCAGTTTTAGAAGTTAATCATCAATCCCTGGTGTTTCACCCTGTTGTATTCTGGAGGCTATTCTAATGGCTTCTTCCAGAGACTGTTGTTCTCCAAGCTGAAACAAATGCATTTAAACATAAATAAATCCAAAATGTGTCAAAAAGAAAAAAAGAAACCAAAGATCTAGATATGGATCGATACTTTAGCACAAATAAGTGTGATCAGTATTGTCACACCTCTTCTGGGTAATGTATACTAGCAGCTATGTAATCAGCATGACAATTAAGATAGCTTCTGATAGCAGATTAAACTGAGTTTCTATGTATCCATCTACCAAATAACTTTTCTTCATAGAGCTGCTGCATGGTAAACACGTTTCATGAAACACAAAGTAGATGATATTTCAACTTGGCAGATAGAACAAAGCTAAAATAAAGCTTCCAAAAGTCATGGTGGCTGTTGAATTACATTTTGACACTGGTAAAGCAAGCAAATACCTTTGTTTTTCTTCACTCTCTTGCAGAAAGTCAGCTCTTTGGAACACCATATGACATTAATATATATAAAAAATGTATACTTATTGCAGAATCCTAACTGTATAAAAAGGCAGTCAAGATGACACTGTTCGATTCTACAGTAGATTACAGAGGAAATTATCTGTCAGAAACAACATCAATCAACCCTGAATAAAGCAAGCTGGACACAATTTTTGGAAAGAATACATGGAGTTTTATAATACGTATATCATGCATGTACATCCAGTGATAGGAACACTGAAGACAACGCCAGCCTAATAAAAATGTAAAGCTGGCCATTACCTATTGGCTTGGGAGAAAGATGTATGAGAGTGTGAAAAGTAAAACCAGGTTATTTGACAGATGGGTAGACCTAATGGGACAGTTCTAAATATTGCTTTTATCTTGCTTTTAAAGTCACTGGATATCACATTCTAGAGCCACTCAAATCAAGAAGAGCTCTGTTACCACCTTATTAGGACTTTAATCTGGCTACTGGCTTTATCAGTATTTATAAACCAAACGGATTCATTTATTAGTATCAAAGTACGAAAGAGAAACAATCAATAACTCAGGATAATCAATAATATTTTAATTTTTAATTTCCTTTCTTCTATTTGTATTGTATATTTTAAGTTTAATTAATATAAAGATACTTCACCAAAAGCTTCACTGCTGGTAACGAAAGTTACCATGTATAGAGAGTGCCTATGTTTTCCTTTCATTCAAAGGACGCACTACTAAGGGTGCAAGTTACTTTTTTTTCTTGCTTTCACGAAAGTAATTGCCTTCTGATATGCTTTCTCTTCCATGTAGTTTTGATTACTGCCAACTTAGCCCAAAAGACAGGAGTTCAGAATTAAAAGCTCTCAACTTTCATTGCTCTTCAATCAGCATCTGACTTGCTATTTTCCATTTAACAAAGGGGGAAATAACAATCTCTCATTTCCACTTGAAGATAGTAACACAATTCCTTTTAATCTGAGCTCTTGAGAGAGTACCGTGCCTACATACACTTGGACTGCAGCATTAATCCTGAAACTCAAATGCTCAAAGGTTTTGATCTCATATTAGTTTCAGCAAATATGAACATTATGAAAGAACCAGACTTAAGTTGCTGTTACCTCCAACATGCAAAGTATATTTTATCCCCTGGAAATTCGTGAGTACATCTTCTGCATTTCTTTTTCTATCTGAAGCTATTCCCAAGAATCTTCCAAGAACATGTATTAATTTACACTGCTTAATACTGATTTGTTTAGAAACTCTTTTGAGCATCTCCTCTCTGCATAGCCATACTGGTGTTCTTTTATATTGGTATTTGTCAGAGTTAAGGTCCATCATATAAATCATACTCAAGATAGCTGCATATACTAAACTCCCTTTGAAATTCATAGGGTGTATCACATCCATGAAATTATCCTCCTGCTAATTGTATACTGTTTTAGGATGTATGGTTCCTGTGATTTTCCATGTTCTCTAGAACAAAATGTGTGTCCGTGGTGATACCCATACAACAAGAGGATCAAATCCACAAAGCGTTGAGTCCCAATTCCACAGTAAATTTGAATTCAAAAGTAGCTTCATTACATTTCTACTGTACTTATTTATGCACACTGTTAAGCACAAAATCAAGAGGGTTACAAGGTGGACCAAAAGTATTAGGCACTTTGCAGGACTCATACTGCCATGCAACCCAAAATTTAAACTAATTCAACCCCTTTTATTTTACTTTGAGTTTAAAATTGGCTTCTGTCATTGGAGTGGCAATTTCCCTAAGATCCTTCAGTCATTTATTTGACCCTTGACTGTCATTTAAAGAGATGGAATTTTTAAAATACTAAATCTCTCAGATTTAAAATTGCCAAAATCTTCTATTAACCTACCGTATCATATGTAACAAAAATAAAATATACACGGAGTTGATTTAATGTTTGAGTAAGGTAGCATACTGGCCATTGTTTGCACTGGAAGTTTCATTCAGCCTTCCAGTCAAGCCAAGCTTCCCTCTGAATAAACTACTCAGGAAAATACTTGTCTAGGCTTTGTTTTCGGTTACTTTCTAGATAAAAGCTTAAATTGTGCTTGGTTTCCACCTTCTTTTAAATTAGCCCAATTTAAATGAAACTCTTTCATACCTAGAAATTACTCTTTCATTACAGTGTTTGGACCATGTGAGGAACTATTTACAGAGACTGCTGCTTGTACTATGTTGGTTTGACACATAAACAGAAGGTTACTATTTCCAGAGATTTCCGATTATTAATCTTTCTATATAATGGTTTACACTTTCTTGCTATTAGCATTTCAAGGTTCAGATCACATAAATTCAGTAATTTTATCTGTAGAAGTTCATAGCAATTTATCCTTGAGAGTCTGACTTTGTAAGGCCAGCTTTATATGTAATGCTGAGGGATGAATGAAAGCACTTTTTCACTGAAAACCTGTGAGGCCATGAACAATTCAGTTGACCTGAAGTTTGGCCCTCCCCTAACCTCCTTTTTTTGGGAAGTTCTACAAGTAGATTTGGAAAATTAAGTGCTTATTATTCCTCTTCCTAACCCTATATACTATTTAAAATATGAGATCATATGGTTATGGACTATTTTTTCAGGACAGCCAAGCTTATTGCAATCATTTTGTTATATGACTAGGAGCTCTTAGCTCTAGAAGTAAGAAACACTCCAAAAAACCATCATCATCATCTTACCTGTACTGCAATTTGTGTTCCATTGGATGTAGCCAACAATGTAACGGGTCTAGTTTCTGTAGCCACTAAATGGTGCCCATGTTGCTGATGTCCCATTTCTGATGAGGCACTATGAAATGCTGCTAAGTCTTGAGCCACAATAGCAACCTTCAAGACCAAAGGAAGAGAATCAACTGGATGACAGATCTGTTACCATTACTGACTGCATACAACAGTTATCTTCAAAGTTAAATTCAAAGCTGTGATTATTCACGAGCATAATTTTATTGTGTGAAATATACATTGTGTTCTCAAAGTTATCTATTAGCTCTTAAAATATAAATACCCTCAGAACTGCACAGAAGTTCAATAAATGTGCCTATAAGCCAGTGATTATTGATACATACAGAGCACAGTGATTAAGTATCTTCATTTTCATGTGGTGCATTTTTAGAACAGTGGAATGCATTTTAACTTAAAGATTAAAAATTTTATCACTATATTTCTACTAAAAAATGTTAGCTGTTTTATTTGTATATTAAAAAGAAAGCTGCAAATACATACTTATGCAAATGCTTCCTATCTGCCAAATAAAGTATAGTCCCATAACATTAAGTGATAAAGCCACAGTTCATACTGGATTCTACTCTTAGCTCTACCACTCATTTACTATACGACTTTGGAGAAATCGCTTAGCATTTCCAGGTCTTATTTTACATACACCTAAATGAATTACCGCACTGGTACCTCAGAATTTTTTCTCGGTGCCCAATTGTTTTTAAAACATTCTGCCATGTTGATATATAGCACTGGAGTAGAATACATCGTACTCTTATGAGGGGAATGCTATGGTCGGGTATTGAAAACTGCTTTACTTAGGTAAGTGAATGACAGAACTGTGATGGCTTAGGTGCCTATTTTATATCATCTTATAAAGGAACATTACACATGTACACAGGATAATACTTTACCTGCTGTCCTTCGGTGCCTTCTGCAGTAACCATCGCTACGGAATGTGTTCCTGCAGAAGAGATGACGGCATCGTGGGCAGGGACTGTGATGGTGGTGCCATCTTGTGTTACCATAGTGATAGTATTGCCAATGGCCTGCATATCTGCCTGGGATATGTTGACCTGAAACACAAAATAATTCCTGAAGTAAAAAAAGAAGGTTTGATTGCTGCTCAGGTCATCCATGAGTCTTAGCTTTTGGCAACATAATGTATGTTTTTAAGTAAAGTTGGAAAAAAAACAGTGATATGCATTGGAAGTGTAACAGCATTTATCAAAGAAATTCCTGCTAGTTGGTTCAGTAAGAATACTCCTGCTAGTTCAGTTTCTTCATTTGAATCAAAATGTGTAGCAATCCAGGACAAAAAGGCAACCCGTTTATAATAGCGGGGAAAAAAAATATTTTAAGCCATGATCACAAGTAACATACTGGCCAAAAGATCTAGTAGCCGTTATTCCACTTCCTGACCGGCATGCTCATGCATTCCTTGAGAATCACCATCACTCTTTGGCCAAGTCCCCGTCTTGGACAAAGAGCCCTTATCACATTCATCTTACTGCCTGGGATCTAATATTCCATCATCTTTCAGACCCACTTATCTGTTTACAGAAATAAAATTATGACTCTTAGCAATAAGAAAAAGGATGCATACTTGCCCCCAGAGTCTACAACTCCATGTTCATTAAATCATACTGCAAATAACTGCATGATAGATTATTTATGCATGTGTGTTACACAATGGACAATGTGACTCAAGGTAGTACCACCTGACATACTTTGGTCTTAGTGGAAATCCTAAAGAAGCCTATGAGGACTTAGAATTTAAACCATGAATAAACAATTCCTAAAAAATTAATGATATAAATTACTGATGTCTCCAGTATAAATGCATTAGGGCAACAGATACCTGATTTGATGTCTGATTTACATGGTAATAAAACATCCCAGAAATAAAGTCAAGCTGAAGGATAATTTAAACAAATGCAAGAACCCATATCAAGGCTTCTGCAGGCCTTCATTTTAGAGGGTAAAAATGCCAATTACTTAGTATCGCTGTTCAGGCCTGGCAATATAACAGCCCCCTATAGTATTTCATTTCCAATTTTAATTTAGAAGGTATCTTTCATATGCTACTGGCATTTCAGCTACCTTTCCAGCTGAGATATAAACTTTTCCCCATATGCCTTTGATATACTGCCATAGCTAAACAAAACAGTTGTGTTGAAATCCTCTCTCAATGAAATTTTGTATGAAATCCTTAAAAAAATATATCCATGGGAATCCTTAAAAAAATATATCCATTGGAGGTAGTTATCAAAGCATTCCTTATCCCCTTGTTTATGTTAGAAATGGCAAGAACTGCACACTACCAAACAGCTTGTAAAGCACGCACCTGGACTAGAAAGATTTCCTACTCCCTCATAGTGCAGACAACACAACAGTGAAGTCAACCATCAGATATTAATAGAATAATCAAGGAATTCTGAGAACCCTCAGAAACTAGGTTGTATATGTAACCATTGTTAAAATAGCCCATGTGCACATGCCCACTTTAAGAGTGACAAAGATAACAAGGATAGATTTATTAATACAGTTTCAGATGTCAGAATATGTGGTTAATTCAGGTAATCCACAGGAGGCCCAACCCTAAACATATCCTGACCTGGCTCCAAAGAAGCTTCTTTCCTTAAGAAACCCACGTACATATTTATCAAGAATCCTAACTGATTTTAGAAAGCACATGGAGTGTCTGCAAACACCTGCCTCAATTCTCAATGTATTTTTGTCAGCTGTATTTTTAACACTGTGGTTACTTACATGTTGGGTTCCGTCCTGGGATATTAGTGCTACTTGTTGACCTAATCCTGATTGAGTAACTGTAGCAACCTGTGCAGAAATTACATCTTCTCCCTCTACACCTGTCACATAGGTTATCTGGGAGCCTTTGAGAACATCTTCACCTTGACCTATTTGATACAAAAAAGGCAAGAGGATAGTTTACATACTCTAAATGCTGCCAGGAAAGCAAATGACAAGGATTAAGTGCCAGCCTGGTTTGAAGGTTTTAAACACTCCAGTGGAAAAATTTCAGTGGAAAGATGAGAAAAATAAAAGAAGGAAAGATACCAAAAGCAAGTCAGAAAGTCTGTTGTTTTGGGAACATGTGGTATAATCTTTTAGCAATGAGTTTTAACACACATAAATACTATACACAAAGAAAATATACATTTAGTTTATAAGCAAATATTAAAATGTTGACAAACATTTCTAATTCACTCATTAAATGTTAACCTCTCGATACAAGAGACTCCATGCAAACACAACTAGCAGCTTTTTAAAAGAGTTATTAATTAACAAAGATATAGAAGAACACAGTGATGCCTTTGTGTGAAAATTTAAGTAAGTTCATTATCTTGATAAATGTTTAACCTCATCAAATGAATCTTACAATTCCCTTAAAAGCAGGAATTAGACTACAGCAAGTCGTCTTGAGGCATTCAGTCCAGTTTCCCACATACATATAGTAAAACAACTTTTCTCACCAGAACAGTTTGCGAATGTATTTCTTATCTTCAGTTACACCTAAAAATCACAACTGGACAAGTGATGTTTGTACTATCACAGTACTTCCTTCAGTCTGATCTTTTATAGTCATAGGATTCAATATTCATGACACCATGAAAAACATATTCTAAGGAGTACTGCAGCACATGAGCTTATTTTCATCTTTGCCTCTAGGATAGTTTACAGAAACTGCTATTAACCACAGCAAAACCAGCATAGTATCAGCGTGCTGCAAAGACAGATTTTCCTTTTCTCAAGGCAGTGCCTTTACTCCTGCACAAAAGACTGTCACCAACTCTGATGTTATACATACACTTAGAAAAATCCCTAAGAAAAATCCAGTAGGTTGCAAACATAGGCATTTCAGATTCTCTCAGGCCCCTTCCCACATTCATGTTTATAGCAGGTTTGCTGGGACTGAAACTCGAATTTCTCTTATCCTCAGGACTGCTATAAATCAGTTTATGATCTGGTCAATTACTCTCTCAGTTTCTGTTTACAAGTTGCCTACCACACTAAAATGTCCTACAAAGAAGTTAAATAACTTTATTAAGTACTTCAGATTTTTATCTATGCTTTCATTTCCTTGGTTACAAAAAAACCCAACAAAATATTATCCAGCCTATTTTTTTTTTTTTTACAAGAAGAGATTCAAAGACTGAAACTCTAACCTGGAGGTGGCTCAAAAAAAGCCTCTTGTTCTTCTTCAATGGGCTCTGTGTCATTGTGTGCTGTCCGCTTGTGCATAGCAAGTGTAGAAATCTGCTTGTATGTTTTCCCACAGTGATTACAGTTATATGGTTTCGAATGAGTATGTACAACATGATGTTTGTATAAACTGGAATACTCTGTAAAACGTTTATCACAACCAGGAACTGTACAGACATAGGGCTTCTCCCCTGTATGGAAAAACAGAAGGGATAAAGAGAATTTTATCCGGGATGCACAGAAAAAATTGTCAACAAATGATATTTAGTGACACATCTTCATTACCAACCATATTTCAATTTAAAAAGCAACAGTGAAGCTCAAGCTCACAAAGTTTATCAATGCAGCCTCTCACTGTCTTTTTTTAAAAACTAGTCCCAGTAGATGTTGCACCCTTTTTTATCCCTATCATTCCATCCAAAACATCCCTCCCGTGAATGATACAGGCTGAAAGCTGTGATGTCAGTTTGGCATTGTATTGAGAATTTTGTTCTTTCATTACTGGAAGCCCCATACTTTTTCTTAATGATCAGGTGTGTTGATATACTAGTACAATTTCACTTACTTTTGAGTCTTTAAGCTCTGAAGAAATCTACAGGAAGCATATGTTTAAACAATTATGGGTTCATGTAAAAACACTTTTCATTTAAAAATCAATGAAACAAATGTCCAAATGACATTATAAACTAAAAAGATAATCTGAGATACAAAACGTACCTCTAAGACACTTGTCTGTGCTTCTTTAAAATATATAAGGCTACCAAGATGATATGGCTATCACTGGCTTTTACATTTTAGAACCTTCAAATTTGTGCCAATTATTTACGCTGACTGACCGTGACATTCAAGTTGGATAAGTATTTTCACCTCCAGTCTACAAAAAGAAGGTTTTGACCACCGCTCCAGCAGCAAGGAAAATATAGCTGGGATGAAAGGGTGACTCACAACGGTGAGTCAAAATCAAGCTCAGATTTGTGCTTTACTGTTATTTATTTAAGAAACAGCTCACAACAGAGGCAAGCCCCAGAACCATATAAGGATTTAGCCCAATGTCGACTGAAGACAAGGGTTTGCATTTATTTTAGAGAACTTTGTATCCAAACCAAAATTATTCTGCCTTGACAGCAAGGTGGGAAACCTAACTGCTTAACTATCCTCAGCTGAGGGGAGACGAGGCCCAAACAAAAGTACCAAGCCAGGTCATGTAAACATGACTATATCCAATAACAATGCACCAAAACAGTGTTCACAAGGAGAATGAGACAGCCTCTCCCAAGCAGATTCCACTTCAAAATACAAAACATCACTCACATACCTGTGTGTATTCTCACATGATTCTTATAATTAGTTGCACTGGCAAAAGCTCTCCCACATCCTGGCTCTGTACAGTAATAAGGCCTTTCGCCTGTATGTGTCCTGATGTGAACCTTTCTAATATTAGATGTTGTGAATGACCTGCCACATCCTTCAAATGGACACTTAAAGGGCCTTTCACCTGAAAAAAAAAAACAAAAAAAGGTACACATGCAAAAGTTATAAAAGAACAAAAATCCTAAGTTACACTTAAGACTGAATGCAGGAATCTAAAGCTACCTAATGCTCTCTTTGAGATCCTCAGTCAGAAAGACCACGAATATGCCACCGTGGAGTGTTCTACTGTTTAGCCAAAACTGGCAAAATTCAGGAAAATCATACAATCTGTAAGCTAAATTACAACGCATTTAGATTAGTACTTTATGATGTATAAAACAGACTCAGTTGCTTGGATTAGCTTCCACATTGTCCATATTCTAACATGTATTTAAACCCCTCCCCAATTCATACATACATTATCCAAAACAAGTGTATCATACCATTTGTACATTTGTCAATTGTAATTCATCAAATGAAAAAAATGCCTTCATGATTTAGCATATAATCAAGATACAAATGGACTAGTAAAACTCATTATAGAAAGCACTTAACCTTACATGAGAACTAACTTTAAGAGAGCCCTGAAACTCAAGTTTCAAGCCCCAAAACCAAAGCAATCACAAATACAGGTTCTTTTTAAAGTAAGTCTATTCGTGTAATATAAATTCAAGCACAATAACTTACATCATTGCATCAAAACATTTCACCATGAACACCAGATAAGGCCAACCCCTGCCTAATACCCCAATAAGCCTGACCTTTCAGATCTATCAAAGCACACAGAGGGGGAGAGTGAAGGGGGTTAACTTTGGAGAAGTGTGAGACACCTGACATGCTGTCCTGTTGTAATTTCACACTTCCTAGAGCTAAGTACATTCCACCCACTGTACTGCTTACCAAAGAGAAGAATCTGAGAGCAAGAGAGGGCAGATTACCACTGCAGATACAACATTAAGTACTTATCGAGACAGAAATAAAAAACAAAGTTCTGACAGAGACATTAATACCACGGAACTCCAAAGTAGTTAGCTCCTTGGCAGAGGAAACTATAATTCACTCCTTAGGGCAGCTGTTTCGGGAAGGTTTTTCAGCTTCCTGCCAAGGTCCTATGTGTGTATTAAGCATACACGCCTCAGTGTTGTGTTACCATGGCTGCCCTAATTCTTGCTACAGCACAGGACCTCAAACCATGCCTGAAAGGAGCAGGGTTGCAGAGTCAACCCCACCCAACAACAGACCCTGCATTAGAAACCAAAACAGATCGCTTTTAAAGAATGCCCGCAAGAATGTCATCCGACTGGTTGGTGAAGCCAGCCTTTTAAGTTTCTAATGTACTTGTTAGAAAAGCTACCTGTTTCCAGGTGACTGAGATTTCTAGTGCTAGAAATGCAAAGCAAGTCAGAAGCCTTCAAGCTCTATCCCACAGCAGCTATGAGGAACCATCCACACCAGCTTTTCTAATATCAGAATAGTAAGTCTAGGGAAGTCATGGAGGAACCCGAGGCCAGCATTTGATGGCAACAGAAACTGAGACTGGATTGCCACTGAGAAGGAGAGTGAAAAATCACTTTTGGCTAAAACAGGCAGAAAATGAAGAAAGCGCTAACCCTGCTCTACATGATAAAGGAATGAAAAGGTTTCAGAGCCATGGGAGAGAGTGGGCAGAGCGCAGACTTGCCTCCATCGGGTGCACTGTTGCAGCTTGCACAGGGTCTGAGCATACACTACTCCATCCATCTGCACAAAGCACTTTGTGCAATTTACTTCTCATTCTTTGGCTTCCTGCAACTACTCATAAATTTAATAAAAGACACCCCTGAACTCCAGTCCCTGGACTGCTGGCAGTCTATGATTGTATTATTAATATTGTTCAAATGGGTAAATGGTTACATAGAGCTGGCTCAAGTCTTTTGTCTCAACTGCTAAATTAGATTAAAGCAATCAAATTACCATACAACTTCTACGGCCATAAAGAAGTAAAGAAAACAGTCTACAGCTAATCAAGTTGTTGTCTATACTACAGAAATCTTTCAGTTCATAGTCTGTACTTGATGCACGATGTAATGTCAAACAGTTCTCTTCTAGAACTGAAAACAGATTATACTTTTATGTCTCCATCCTGATGACCAATTTAACATCAAGATAGCATTAATCCCAACAGACTGTCTTTGAGATAATTCTGGTTTCCTGGACTTCCATATTCAATGTAATCGTGAGTTTTTATAATTTTTATTGTCTGCTTTTGTTCCCTGCCCAATTGTTCTTTTTAATCTGAGAAAAAAAACTATTTCTTTTGTTGTTTTTTTTTTCTTTTTTACTCTCCAAGATTCAGAAAGTTCAGTTGAAAAATTTGTCAGTGTTCTAGCAGGCAAGTAAATATACCTCATGGAATAGGTTAGGAAGTGATAGATTATTCTTCCTACATTTTTTTTGAGATCTCAGGAGCAAAGGAGACATTGTGCAAACTTGTTTACACATATGTGCACCCATAGAGTTTTGCGGAGTGTAGTGTATGCTGTCTAGAATTTGTGTTTTGGCTTTCAAATGAATCTTTTTTTTAGACAAAAGGTAAGATTTTGGGTTTTATGCATTTGGAAGTTTTAATAACAGCTGTTTTTCTATGCTATTTTTGTTCATTTTTCTGCTGCAAGAAGAGAAGGGAAATCAGGATAACAACAAGCTCAGAACTATCAACTTTTGTGAAGCTGGCATGCAAGTTATCTTAAAGCACCAAAATTTAAGAACGCTGATGCTGTTTCTAAAAGGTGAGCCATATTATTGAGGAAAAGTCGCTTGTTCTGTTACAGCTGCAAATGAAACTGTAAAGGCACCAAGTGACTCAGTGACAATGTAAATGATGCATTGCTAAAAGTTAGTGCATTTGCAATGGCAGTGTGAATGTTTAAGCACTTTTTCCAAGAAAAGCATGCTGGATTTGCAATAAATGCTTACCATGCTGCAATGCTGTTGAGCTCACTGGGCTTCAGAAAGAGAATATACACAGACTGATTTCATAAGTATAAAGTCACAAAATGATCAAAGAGAAAAAAAAATCCACCAAAAAAATAATGGGTGATAATAGTACCTGTGTGGGTTCGGATATGTTTCTGCAGGTCTCCTGAAGTCTTGAATGACTTGGTGCAATTTTCTTCTGTGCACCGATAAGGCTTTTCACCAGTGTGTGTTCGGACATGACTTTTTAATCCATACCCTGAAGATCAGAAAGCATGTTATAATAGTAGAAACATAAAATTAGGATACTCATAAACCATCACCATCAAAAGCTGTGCTTGCCATTCCAATCAGGAAGCTCCCTGATGAGTAAAATTTGCTCTTTCACTCCTCACAAGCTCTTCATCCTACCAGAGCAGCAGAACTCTAGATACAGTTCAGAAATTCTTTCATCCTTCGTTTATCAAGAAAGCGTGCTTCCATAATACTTCTCCTTCCCTTCAAAAGGATAAACTGTAATGAATATACTGTGGACAAATATTTATTCTGTCTTCTGAGGAAGCTGTATGCTCTGTATTCCATTTACATTTTATCTATTACCACTACTGTCATCAAAATGACATTTAATTATTCACTTATACAAAAATCAGTACCCTGAATGAAGTCAGCAGTAAAAGCTGTGCATTTTGCACAGTCAAATTCAATCTCAGGGAGAGCATCATTTATGAACAGATTAGTCTGTACAAAATGTAGAGTTCACTTCATGAGAAATGTCACTCTGATAGAAATTCAATAAAGAACACTTAAAACAGCATCCTCTGTCAAAGTTCCTTTCAAATTTGGAACAGAAGATCAGGTATTTACCTCTAGCCAACAAGTTCAGCTTCTTCTTGTCACCTCATTTAACTTCTACTATTAGTTTCGTGTTCAGAAAGGCCTATTTTTTTCAACATAAAATCTGACTGTAGCATGACAGGTGAAGAGTAAGGGAATGTGTCAAGAGTTTCACCTCATTCCTCCTTCAGTAACTAAGAGTTAAATCCTCTGTCCTTTCTATATGCTACACTAGCTGAAATGATGGACTTTTTTTTTTTTTTTCAGTTTTCCTAATCAAGTTCTTTACTTAGCAGTTTAAAAAAGGCAGTATTAAAAACTTACTTTATACAGAGACAAACGTAAACAAGCAGGAGGAGCTAGTCTACAAAAGATTACCTGTTGCAAAGGCTTTGCCACATCCAGGATGTTCACACTGATACGGTCTGTCTCCTGTGTGTGACCTTTCATGCACCTGTCAAGACATCCAATACACTGACTTAATGAAATGTTGTATCTGATTACTTCAACACAGAAAGAGTTCATTCTGAGAGAGTATTTCTCTTCCTAAGATTCACATTCAAGTGTCTTCTTTTTAAATCAGTGATAAAAAAAATAATGAAATATGGTAACAATGTTTTCCCTAAAACGAAAGATGTCTCTTTCCAAGGTCTAACCTGATCCTTTCAGTCAGTTTTGCAAAAAACATTTCTGTAAATACAGTTGCCATCATGCAACTACATTAAAGACAGTATACAAACATGCCTCAGAGCCTACTCTATCTGATTTTTAACTCCACTGAGCACTTCTAACGATCCTCTTATATTGCTACAGCAAGGACACCATTTAAACATGTGATCCATACAGTCAATTACTCACTGACTCCAGAATGTTTTGTCAGAGACAAGGCAGCACTGCAAGGAGTTTACCTCATGGGCACGTGATTATCTCAGCCTAAGCTGGAATATGAACTGCTCTACACCCTTACTGTTTCAGTAATTCCTTTACTTAATTTTAAAAAAGGAAGAGAATTAAGGACTTGCCACCTGTAAAGAAAAGACACTCCAGCTTTTCACTTTGAATGTGGATTGTTTTGAAGAGTTAGACGTTGTATTATGATGGAAAAATCTTTCAAAAATTGGAATTTTTGCATGATCGTGCATACATGTAAAGTAGATAAAGTGAACACTGCATTTCAGAACTTCTGTGACACTGCTAGTAGAAACGATCTCAACAAGAAATTTCTTAACACACTGGCAATATAGGAGCCTAACATGATCCCACACCTGCATCTATCCAGAACACTAAGCAAAATCAGCTGAGCACCTGGGACAACCAACTATTGTAAAATGAATCCAATAAACATTTGACAAAACAGCACCATTGCAACTGGAGCTCTGTTAATTTCTGTTACTTTTAACCACATAATCTGTCAAAAAAAAAATCATGCCTGCAAAGTAACAATGCTCATTTTACATCTCATCACCTTAAGATGGTGAGCTGTTGTGTACAGTTTTCCACAGCCATCATAATCACAGCGAAAAGCTTTCTCTCCACTCTGCTGAGATTTTGCAGTCACTCTTGTTCCATGTCCTTGCAAGACAATCTTAAGTTAAAAAAAATAAACCACCATTAAAAAAAACCCACAATGGATTAGAAAAGTCACACATTTTATTTTGCTGTCAAGCTAGAGCTGATTCTGACAGCTTTCTTTTGTGTCTCTTTGCTATGCCATGTATTTCTTAGTCCTCAATAAATAAACTAAAAATAAATAACTGAAAAGCATAAGTTCTGATGAAAGGAAAGAGAGAAACGATTAAACATATTTACTTGTAGCTAGCAATTTAAATGCATGCATTAATTAGCCAAATAACAACAAAGACAAAATAATTTGAAATATAAACCCAGTGGTAAGATGACCAAATTAGTAGACAGAAGAGGCTTAGATTACAGCTAAGGTGCTGGATCTGTTCCTAAAGGAGATTAGCCATAAATCAGGCCACCTTCAAAGAAAAGTTCATGCAAAGGCCAAACAATAATTAAATGCACTTATAATGAGCAGTTTTTGAAAATGAAGGAAAGCATTTTGTACTTCGTCAGTGATGCATGTGTTTTGATCAAACTAACTGCAGCAATTTGAGCTAGGTTCTATTCTCCTTTCTGGCATTACACAACAGGAAAATATACAGAATAGCTTTGCAATGCAACTTAAACCCCTTCTAAAGGCTTCTTCATACATTAATATGCAAGAAACATTCATACAGACTGAAGAAAGAGGCAGAAGCCCAAATGTCAACATTTTGATACAACTGCAAAGTGATCAAGACTATTTTAAAAGGTCTATCCTTCTTTTAAACCACCCCCCTTTTCTTCTGGATCCAATTCAATTCTGAATTGTCAAAAGAACATTTCACAGAACGGATGAGGTGTGCAGGCATCTCTGGAGATCATCTAGTTCAACACACCCTGCTCAAAGCAGGGTCAGCTGCAGCAGGTTGCTCACAGCAGTATCCAGATGGGTTCTGAGTATCTCTAAGGATGGAGACTCCTGAAGGCTGCCCTCAGCCTTCACATTCCCAACTAATTCTTCTTGGTAAGTGTGAGGTCCAGCAAAGCATCTCACCTCGCCAGCTGCTCAATAACCTGCTTAAGGCTGCCAATTGCCATCCCTAAACTCCAGAAACCTCCTGGATTTCACGTGCCCTGTTGTGACGCTC